CCTCTGGAGGTAACCCACCCCAGAGCAGGGCTGGTGAGGCACACAGTAGGATTTGACAGCTCCTGTGTGTATGGACATGCTCTACACGTCCAGCTTTGTTCTGATGATCAGACCACTGCCTCTTGTGAGCTGGGCTGTTCATCAGCTCAGATTGGGCTATATATTTCATATAGAGTTTGCATACCTCTTTGCTGCAGTGCTGAAGAACATAGCCATCATGAAAGGAGAGTTTACACTGCTAATGGCTACAAGCAGCTATTATTTAAAAATAAAAGTAAAAGTCCTAAGAGGCAAGAAATCAGTTCCCAGTAGGACACTAACASGCATCCCATTCCCTCTTGTAGCCCACAGGAAATTGAGAGGTTTTAGATCCCCTTCTGAGACACAACTTTGCTCATCCTTGTAACAGTTTACGGTGTGGTAGAACAGAGGAAAAGAAAGGAAGTCTGTAACAGTATTTGGCAGAGAGAGGTCACACCAGACTGCTTTCTGGGTGGATTATAGCTTGTTCTGAGCTGTTAGAGGGGTGGGGCTGGGGTCAGAACACTGCTGAGCTGTAATCAATCAGTGCCTCTGATAGAATGGACTGGCAGCTTTGGGTTACACTCCTTGCTATGGCAGCTCCACAGCTTTGGGTCAGGACAAATCCATCTCACAGTAAAAGTTCTGCAGACATGTCCACAGCCCAACATACTATGCCAGATCCTCATTTCCTGTTGTCTGTTGCCCCCATTTTTTGCATTACTTTAACAGAACAAAGAAGTTCTATAAGTGAAAGACACACTTTAGAGCACTTTGAGAGCAAAAAGTGTCTGCTGTGAAACAGAAATGGTGTCCCATTGAGGAACCTCCCGGGTGATATCCAGCTCATCTTCACWTTCCTGGACAAGCCTTTTGGTCAGTGACAAGAAGCAGGCAGTTTAAGGGCACAATTCATCTGTCCTGTTTYCATGTCTATTTCAGGATAAGATAAATCACTCTTTAGCACCCCTTGGCAGAAGCTGTGAAGGCAGCAGATATTACACACAAGCTTAACAGTGGCTGAAAACACTGCTTTTCATGTGGTCAGTTGCAGTGTCTTCATTAGACTCAACTATAGCTATCTAAACCCTGTGAGGCATGGCAGTTTCCAAAGGTTTATGTGCCCATAGTATTGTACATCACAAGTCAGCTACCCAAAATCATGGAAATGSTGTAAGATGCATAATTAAATGCAATACTGCTCTCTTCTTACTTTACTTTTTATTCAGGCCTTGGAGTTTTGGGGTATATTTTTGTCAGGCTTTCCACTCTTATACTTTGTCTCAAGATTTAAATCAAAGGGTAGTTTAAAATGAGGGAGAGGAATGTTGTAATTGTTTGACTGTAGGATTTGAGTATAAACTCAGGTGCCATGGCAGTACCACAATGATGAAAAATAAGATCTGTTAGGAYGCTGTATGCTAAAATAGGACAAAGGAATGTTATTCAGTTTTACAACTCAAATATTACAAGCTATTTATAATATTGCAGTAAGACCTACTTGCAAAGGTTGTAACCCAAAACATGAATTGTAGTGGCCTAAGGACAAGCTTAGTCAGACCTTGCATTGCAAATGCAGTCAAGGACAAGAACAGACACTAAAATTTTGCACTTGTTTGAAAGTGTTTGCACTGCAAACACACCTTCATTGGGCAGCATTCCCCRTTTAGGTGAGTGTTGAAATGCTGTCAAGGCTAATGGCACTCAACATTTGCTTCACCTGGCATCATGGATAAGCAACTTAATGTAAAAGCATGAAAAAGCTCATACAATTTTCACTTTTGTTTAGATGGGAGTTTAATCAGGAAACTTGTATTGCATAGAGACCTCAGAACAACAAGTGAGCTCGCAGGAGGTGAAGTATCCCTTTGGCTGAAAATACAAATGCAGTGACAGCAGGAAATCCCTCTCTGCACACCTTATATAAGCTGACTCTACTGATTCAGCAGCTCCTGAGATCTACTGARCCCTTTGAAGCACCACTCTAAATATAGTTCTTACCTGTCTCCTCTGTTCTGCATTTTTCACTGAACTGAGCAGAAATACTAACGGCAAAAAACTGTTCTCCACTATTCACATCCACCATTCAAAGATTTCACTGCTACCTAGGACAAATAAATTTTTCAAGCCTGGACCTGAATGTATGACTGGYTGTGCAGTGAATCATCAGATATGGGGCATTGGTCACAGCCTGACCCGAGGCACCTCCCAAGAGGAAATGGAAGTTGTAAAACAAGAAGAAAAGATTTGAAGTGAGGAAGGCTCAGAGGCGAAGGAAGATGAAAGCATTGTAAAACCAACTGTAGCTGCTTGGGATGCATCAAAGGGGAGAAGCTTTACTCCGGGCTCATTATAAATGTACTGGCTTTTATTTTTTCTTTCCAAAATAAACCTCTCCCTTTTCAGTTTCTTGAGTGAGCACATTGYCAGAGCTCCCCTGTTGTGGAGGGAGCTCTCTGTGCTGCGTCAGAGGCTTCCRCCCTGTGCTGCACCCAGTCTCTGCATCGATAACCCTCCTCTTCTAATCTGTAAGGAGGAGCACTAAGGAAATGGGTTTTTGCAAATTCTTTGCTGGGTAAAGCTTTTGAGCAGTTTGTGGCACAGGCTTTGTTATTGGTAGAGCATAACCGATCATCATCTTAGGGCAGGGGTACAGGAAGCAATTTCATATGCAGACAAATAGCAGCAAAATTTCTCATGCCATTCCTGTGATTTATAAGACTCTGCAATTATCTGCATGACCTTTGTTCTTGTAGGAACAACTAAGAATGTGATCTGTGCCATAATTATAGCCTTTTCCTTCCCCAAGACATAAAAAAGCACGTGTAGTCAGGAAATAAGAAATAAGCAATCATACGAAAGATTTAAGCTGAAAATCTGTCACTTATTTGCTTATTCACTGCTTGTTTGCTTTTGAATGTAGATATTTTTACTTTAGATGACATTAAATGTAGATATGAAACATGTAGGAATTGTAGCAAAGTCAGATAGATACTGAAGTTCTGTTCAGCTGCTGCAACTTAGCATATTGTAAACTGGGATCTTAACAGAACTTGCTTGTGGGTATGTTCAATAGGCTTATTA